ATGGGGCTGACTTCGCATTGCCCAGGTGGAGGCTTCTGGGGGCTCGTCTTCATCATTGTCCTCACTGTCGATCACTGCATCAAAAACAAGGCTCCGTCAGGGTCTCAGGATGTGTGGCCGCGAAGCCCACCCAGCAGGAAGAGCCATTGTGAGAACAGCAGGCAGTCCTGGCAAGCTAGTTCAACTCAAGGTACTGTGTTTGCTGAATGTGAGTGACCTGTGCGTTGCTGCAGGTCCCAACCCTAAAGCTGACCAAATCCACTCATGGAGGGCAGCTTTGCCCATCTGGACACTCTTCTCGCCTCCCTTCACTGGGCTTCCTACCCCACCTCCATTATACTATTCTGTCCTTCCCTCTTTCTACGTCTTAACCTTCTCTTCTTGGCTCTGCCCATTTCCCCTGCTTCCACCTGTTTCTGCGATGGTATCTCTTTGCTGAAATTCACTGCATCACGATGGGTCCTTACCCCTCCTGCTGCCATCCAATGCTCCCTGGACCACTCAATGGCTCCCGATGATGTGCCTCAGCCCTTCCCCAGCACATGTGATTTCATACTTCACGATTCTCCCAGTCAGTCTTACCTATTATGTCTGATTCCTGGAGACAGTTAGTCCTTTTGGGGGCTCTCGGCTCATAAGAAGACTTTTCCTTCTTTATATCCACAAGAAGCACACTACACGGATGGATTGGGGTTCCATTTGTGGATAGCTCTGCCCCTGGAACAACTGCAGTTAGTGAATAATCTTTCTACCTCTCATGTGAACCCTTCACTGCCACTGAAACCACCTTTACTTGCTATTTGGAGGGCCATGTTTCATGCGCATGCCCTCCCCTATCTATTATCGGCTGCTCAACCCTGTACCTTCCTTTGTGTCTCTCAATTTTTCATTTTATTTATTTTTTCTCAACTCTTTAAAAAATGAAAGTCTCTACCTGCTCTTCTGGGTGGATTTAAACTGCCAACATTTTGGTTACTAGCCCAGCAAGTAATTAGTCGTCAACCATTTCACCACCCAGGGACGTCCCCCACCCCGCCACCTCCCAATGAGTCATCATTGGCCGGGCAGTGACACAGTGACAATGACAACAGGGCAGGGTGAAGGCAGTTAGGAGGAGGAAACAAAGGAAAGCTTGTTTTTGCACAATGAAGCAAAGCTGCCATTAGAAAATTGGCAACACCAGCAATGCCTGCTTGTGTTGACCCCAGGACAATGGGCTGAGCATGTCCTGCCTTGCATCTTTACTGTGCATTCGGAGAGCTGCTTGTTCAGAACACCCTGAAGATAAATAAGCCCTTCTCTGCCTCTCTTTCCATAGCCTTACCCTGGCCCTCCTTTCCTACTCTCCTTCTCAGGTTTCTACTTAAAGCTCTATCTCTACGTCGGTTCTTTCATTCTGCAGTGGCTCTCCTCAACCTCCTCCATCTGCCCTGTGTTTCTGTCCTTCGGTAATGATACTCTGTACTTCTCCCCCTTTTAGCCCTTTCCTTCCAACTTCCTACCTTTGGGTCTTCCCTAGCCCACATATCCGTTTCCATTCCTACCCCTGTGTGTGGGAGTATCTGCATGATCTCCTTTTTTGGTTAAAAAGTTGTCTCCTTGCATGTACATGATTCCATCCTGGCCTCACACCCATGCAAACACAGCCACAGTCTTACCTACAGGATCCGATTCTTGGGTACACGCGCTGCTGTCTTGCTGACCTCCTGCTGCCTCATTTTCACTCCTGGTCGGCTCTCTTCCCCCTTCATTGACCCGCTCTGTTTCAGAGACATAGTCTGAG